CCCTAGAATTCCTACTTTTGGAGACAATGTGGTATCAGGCATCTAAATAGTCCCAAATTATAAGTTTTAGGCGACAACACAGTTGGAGACCTGCCCCACTATTTCTTGAAGCTCTTTAAAAGGCGTAAGTCAAGCCATAGCTTTACGTAGAAAATACCAAGATACTTCATACTTTCCCAAGGAGGCATGGTGAAGAGTTTGTGTCTGAATTCTGCGACTGAGTAAGAAATTTAAAAAATAAAAAATAAAAATTCAAAATAGTAAAGTGCAATTTTTTGTTAGCTTTAAGAAATTATGACAAGCTCTTCCCCCCACTCTATACAGTTGATTCTAAAACAGCATTGCAGTACAATGAGAAAAACATCAGGTATGGAGGAAAAAATACACAATTTTTTTGCTCAAAATTATGATAAATACTAGATGATTAGTCTCTTCAGATTTGGGGACGTGGTTCATGTCTGCTTGCCCATGACTGCTAATACTGCCTCTGCATCCTGGCAGATCATCCTGCAACACCACTGTGCTCCCCATCATGTATCGCTCCTGCACCCCTTTTTTTTTTAAATTAGAAGTACCAGTATATAAATCAACACCTTCTGCCATGTGGAAGTGGTGGTTCTGATCCACTCCTGGGGGCGCTAAAAGATTTGTTATGTTGAATACAGGAGTTATTATCAATGGCTTCCTCAGCAACGCAATTTCTCCCACTGTTGCAAAAAACAAGTGCAACTCCAGAGATGGAAACCAGAGTGAGAGGAATAGAGGACAGGAATATTTTCCAGCTGCCACCTAAGAAAGTGTTTGTAAAATCAGTCACTCAATCATCTCCAGCTCCTACCAATGTACCTCTTATTTCTGACTGAAATAAAAATAGTAACCCAAGAATATAACTTCATTAATGCAGAGTCAGGGATATCCACAGCATCTTCTCAGAATGGGTTTGGCTGGTTCAAGTCTTCCTATTTTGGGAGCTTATGATGCATACTCAACAGCCTTACCTACATCCTTCTCACACCATGTTTGATATCAGACTTGCTTACCTTCATTAAGAATGTTGATTGAGGTTCAACAAGGCCAAGTGCTGGGTCCTGCACCTGGGTCACAACAACCCCACGCAATGCTGCAGGCTTGGGGAGGAGTGGCTGGAGAGCTGCCTGGTGGAGAAAGACCTGGGGGTGTTGGTCAACAGATGGCTGAACATGAGCCAGCAGAGTGCCCAGGTGGCCAAGAAGGCCAACAGCATCCTGGTCTGTATCAGAAATAGTGTGGCCAGCAGGACCAGGGAAGTTCTCTTACCCTTGTACTCGGCACTGGTGAGGCTGCACCTTGAGTGCTGGGTTCAGTTTTGGGCCCCTCACTCCAAGAAGGACATGGAGGTGCTGGAGCGTGTCCAGAGAAGGGCAGCAGAGCTGGGGAAGGGTCTGGAGCACAAGTGTGATGAGTTCACAGCTGAGGGAACTGGGGTTGTTGAGCCTGGAGAAAAGGAGGCTGAGGGGAGACCTTCTCACCCTCTGCAACTCCCTGAAAGGAGGGTGTAGAGAGGTGGGGGTGGGTCTGTCCAACCAAGGAACAAGTGACAGGACAAGAGGAAATGGCCTCAAGTTGCACCAAGGGAGGTACAAACTGGATGTCAGGGAAAATTTCTTTCCTGAAAGGGTTCTCAGGCACTGGAACAGGCTGCCTAGAGGGGTGGTTGAGTCCTCATCCCTGGAGGTATTCAAAAGACAAGTAGATGAGGTGCTCAGAGATGTGGTTTAGTAATGGACAGGTACAGTTTGACAGGATGATCTCAAAGGTCTTTTCCAAGCAAACAATTCTATGATTATGTTCATAATCAGAATTACTATTTCCTTTAGAAAAGTAATAGTTTTGCTGAAGCTGATGTTCCAGGAATACCATGGAGCACCACCAGGCAGTAGTCTGGAGGACAGCAGATATAATAGAAAAGGACTTCCAGTAGCAAGAGGATGCTCACGAATCCCGCTGAGTATAAGCATGGGAAGATCAAACAGGAAGGAAATAATTTTACAATCTCTAGTGTCACCTCTTTTTTTCCAGTTTCTCAATGCTTCTATTTAGAAAAATACCACAAAAATAATCTCACATCTAGCTAGTAGACCTAACTTGAGGTGGCTTAAACTCTTTTCTTGGTTAAGTTACAGAATAAATTACCTTATTACGGGCAAAAAATACTTACTATCAGACATTCCCTCTCTCTTTAAGGAGCTCTTGAATTGAAAATTCCACAACAAAAATAAGAAATACATTTTTAATGCGACTGATTAACATTTTAGCTCCCTTTGGAGCACTCACGATATCCCTTCACCTGGAAGGTTTTAATTCCAGACTGCTGACATTTCCTAAAAATGCATTATAATTTAAAAATAAGTTACAGTGTTGACAGAGCATAGTGCTCACTGGTCTGCCCCGGGCAAGAACCCTGATTATGTGGCCATGTTGATCCCTTCTGGCCTCACCATTTTTCATGACATAAAAACCATTCAGCCATAATCTGTTTGGGTTTTTTTGCTGCTGATGAATTTAAGAGATAGATAACAAAGCATCTAAACAGGACCACAGTGACCTCAATACTCCTGCAAGCCATTTAGGAAGCAAAGGGAGGCTCTGGAGCACGCAAGTACTATGAAGGCCATGGCAGAGACCAGCGGTCATCTCCCCGATTGTCTCATGTTTTGGCACGGAGTCCTTGGTCATGGAGCTTGTGGAGGAGACTGCACTGGGAGCCTGCCAGCTCTGCCAGCAGCCAAACCACCATGGAAAGTTTTCACCTCATCTGAAGAGATAAGGAGAGAGGACTCCTCCTCCTGTTCAACTTCAGGTTGGGTTTGGTTTTTTTTTTTAAATTTTTGTTTTGGAGGATATGATCCATCCTCTTTAAGTATAAACCAAAGTGTATGGTCTTGGTACACAATGAAGAGAGTCTGTTCCTCTTCACCAGTAAAGATCCAAGCTGGAGTTTCAAAGGGGATTCAGACCCGCTGTCTGCACCTACGAAGGAAGTCCATGAAGGCAGTGGACACCTGAGCGGGATGGCACTGGAGCAAGGCAAGGAGCCATTAAAAGGGCTCCTGAGCCCTCCTATGGAAAGGTGGCACTCGCTCATCCTTCTCCCACCCAAAGGGGCAAAACCAGCCTCCAGCTCCATGTACCACACTGTTCACCTCTCCCCTATTCTGGTCCCAATATACACTTTACCGTGTTACAAGTAAAACCTGCACCCAATGTTCAAAGTATTACATGGAAGATTTTGGCACAAGTTCTAGGAAAGGTAAAATTAAATTTTGTTAGATCTCCTCTAGCCATGCTTAGAGCATAAAAACCTGTTTCAGGTAACACTCTGTTGGTCCTCCCCTACAGTGCTCCTGCACACCTCATCTAAGTGATCTTTACCTCCAACACCTTCCTTTGATGCTCAAGGACCTCCATAGTCCACTTCCTACTCTTTTGTTTGAAAAGGGTAAAAAGAGGGCACACAAGCAACACTAAATGTCTCTTCATGCGCACACATCTGGGCTCATGCATATCCCAAATTGTCCCCACAAGCAATTTTTAAGGCAAAGCGACTCATTTGCTCCTACGATGCCTATTTTTTCCCCCCTAGAGGACAATCTCTTTAAACTCAGAGATTTAACTAATAACATTAAAATGATGACTTACCAGTCTCACATTATCTTCTGAGGTTCTCTGGTAATGAGCTGCTAAAGCAACGTAATCCTGTGCCTGCTTGTTACACTCTAAACACTTAAGTCCATGACGGATTAGTGTCAACGGGTCTGTATAGAGAGGCAAGGCTGGCTGAGTGTTAGCAGAAATTCCAGCCCCACCTCCCGAAGCAGCACTGGGCTTACACGAAGGAGAGGGCGAGTGCAAAGTCTCAGGAGCCGGAGAGGCTGAAGAGCTTGTAGGAGAAGGTGAAAACATTTGGTCTAAGGAAATTGGTTTCATTAGCAGCTGTGAACACTGCATGATAAATCCTTTGCTCTTATGATCTCTGGCATGTTTAAGCAAGCTACACTTATTAAAAAAAAGAAGCATAGTTGAACACTGAGTGCACATGACTTCAATATGAACGCTTCGTCTACTATAGTGTTGAGTCAGACTTTTCTCTAAGGCAAAAGAGTCCCCACATTCCAGGCAACAATACCCAGAGGCAGGTAAATTAATACTGGTGTCAGGCGGAGGGCTAAGGTTTGGAGTATATATTGGCACCGGGTTGGCACTCTGTAGTACTTTATTAAACGCCTCCACAATGATGGGTGCAGCTTTCTTGACTTGGTGCACCAGCGGCACGGACATCTGTGTCACCTGAGGCTGATTTCGCCTCTGTGCGGATGACTTTGCCGTAACAGAAGCAGCAACACTATGTGGGACCAAGTTGAGATTTGCCAAGTGCACAGCTTTGGGAAGAAGGCTAGAAGTGGTCACGTTGGACGGCTGCACCACGATACCCTGCTGCTGCCTCTTAATGCCAACTTTTATGGCACTGCTGCCACAGTTTGGCAGCGGAGATAAGGACACAGTACACATGGTGTTTGCAGCAATATCTGTTTTCATACCATCTGCGTAAGGACTCGCTACGTTTGACAGCTGGATAGCCACAGCAGCCCCATTTTTGGTTGAATTCTTGCTAGCCTCGCTTTCCATAACTGCACTAGTGTCAGGGGACGGGAAAGATTTGATAAACTCTTCGGCAGATGAGGTTTCTACAGGCGACTCTTCTGAAGGTTTGCCCAACTCATCGTTTTCTGGCAAAATTCTAGTTACAGTTCTTTTAATTTCACCAGAGGATGTCTTGATAGTCTTTATTCTAACTTTTGGAATAGCTGGCGGAGAGCCGGCTGCCATGGAAGGAGAGCCTTTCCCACTGCTGTCACTGCACACACTTGGAGGACTCTCAGGCTGTTTGCTGGCCTTCCTCACCACCTCTAAGGGGCTTCGGGGACTCTTTGGCGACTTGGGCATTTTTGGACTCCCCTTCATCCCATCTTTAAAAGGACCAGGTTCCTTGGTAAGGTTTGGCTGATCACCTTTTGGAATACACGCAACCTTTTTGGCCTGAAGAGCTACTAACGCCGCCACGCAGGATGACAACTTTGAATGAGTTGGCTTTAACCTCTGGCGAGGCGGTACTGACGAAGACATGTTCAGCTCGGGCACAGAGCCCTTACTTTCTCCTAAATTACTGTGAGGGAGGTCTCCAAACACCAAGCCTTCTCCAAGAAAGCTATTGGTATCTACCAAGTCCTTGCCTGACTCCACAAACCTCTCCGTCGCTTTGTCTTGTTCTCTCCTGCTCATTTCCAGCCTAGTCTCTGGGTGGCAGTGGATTTCCATCTTCTGTTCCTTTTTACAGTATTGATCAAACATGCTTAATTCAGGCTCTGGTACCTTCCTAAGATGATCTAGTACTGAAGCTCCTGTTGGGAGATACATTGAAGGTGGTGGAAAATACGGAGTTTGGGCATGTTTGGGTTTATCACCAATACTGTTCTCTTTGAATGCATCCTCTGGTTCAGGGCTGGAAATCGGGCTAAACTGACTGAACGTTGGCAAAGGCTCCGATCTGGACTGATCCAGTTTATCACAGTAACTTCTTGAGCTGTCACCATTAATAAAAGTTGACTCAAACTTGCCATAATTATGCACTAAAGTGTGAGCCTCCGATGGCAGATCAGACCCACGAAACCCGTTGTGTAGCAGACCAGTCCCGAGGTGATTCCCCTCCTTTTCTGCTTCAAAGGACTCCTGGCGACTTGTGTTCTTCACTATCACACTCACAACAGGAGCATCAGAGGGAGGTAAAGAATGAGATAAGGACACGTTTTCATCTATGCAGATTCCTGATGACTTCAGGTGATTCTCGTTCTCCTCCCCAGCTGACGGGATGGTTTCCTTGGCATCAAGGCTAGTTGGATCAGGGATGTCAAAAGCAGCCAAGAGGTCATCAAAATCTGGGGTTTTCATGTCCCCCATGATGAAAGCTGCAATTAAAAAGAAAAAAAAAAAAAACAACAAAGAACTTTGTCAAGTACATTTCCCCCAAGGAAGACTCATTTGCATAAATATGTGACAAAAAACCACAACTGCCCAAAATGCTAACACAGAGGCTAGAAACATCTGCTGCAGACATTTCGACTCCCACTTCAACTATTCCAAGACTGACTAGACACAAAGATACCAGCCCAGCTTTTTCAACACAGCTTTTGACACAACAACGCTGTTTTGCAGGGCATCGCAGGGAATGAACCTCTCCTGCCCTAGCTGTGCCTGGAGGATCAGCAAAAGCTCAGGTCCCATCCTGCTCAAGCTGGCAGCGGGCAAGTGACAAGTGACATGGGCTGTTCACTCTTGTCCTGCAACATTACCCATCCTCTCCATGCTGCGGGCAGGGCTGCTCCTGGTGCTTCAGGTAACAAGGCAGGAGACAGCATCCCCTTCTACCAGATTTCCCGAGAACAGAGCTGGTTCAAACATGACCCTTCATAAAATCAAAGAATCACAAACTGGTTTGGGTTGGAAGGTACCTTAAAGATCATGTAGTTCCAAGCCCCCTGCCATGGCAAGTGACACCAAGCTCACGCACGGGACATCTTTTCAACCTGCCAGATGCACCACTACTCCAAAAGCAACTGTTGTCATGAGCCTTGACAGAGAAGATTCACAAGTACATTACTACAGGTTTTCTTTTTTGTTTGGTTGGGCTTTTTTTCTAGAGCTAACAGGCAACAATTGCTGCCTGTTTCTCCACAGACTGTCACATCTGAAGAATTCAGTCCTCCTTCAAGTAAAAAAGGCAGGGGCAAACAGGTGGCCTAAGAGAAATAGGCCTGGAAAGTGAGATGACTCCCAACCCAGAGCAATTTAGATACTAGAAGTCTTCAGGAAAAAATTTAATACAGCAGCTCAAAGCATGGTAAACCAAGCAGGATTTATTTGAAACAGGGGCAATCCTTAATTAGGTAACGATGCGAGGGAAAACTGCCCAAAGACAGAAGAATAAAAGATTGTATCCAAATCATAGTAAGAAACAGAGTTCCCAGCCAGCTCTGTCTTTATAAGCCCTCCAGAAGGGAAGTGAGGACTTAGATGCTTGCCACAGAGACCTACGACAGCAATCATCAAGCTCTGATGAGATGCATAATGAAAACTGACAGCACAGAATTACTTTAACATTTGTGTTTGCTACTGTCAGGATACTGCTTTTCCCCTCTTTAATCAAAATATTTTCAAGTTGGTGCAATATATAGACTTCCCAAATATTTAATAAGCCACGCTTTTAATACATGATCAATTTAAACCCCAAATGTATGTGAACTGATGTATGCTGTATGCAGGGGAGGAAAAAAACAAAACAAAACAAAAGCATCAACTGAAGTAGCAGAGCACCAGTTACTACTTGGCAAGAAGCACCTACAGGTAAGGTAGATGCTGCCACACTCACTTGACTTGGGCTGCATCAACACTGCCAAAGCCAGAAGCAAGACAGGGAGACTGAGAGGGTGGGAAAAGCCCAGAAGAAGGGGAAAGAGCTGGGAGCTGAGGTGAAGGCAGAGAGGAGGACCCTGGGACAAAGCAGAAGGAGAGAAAGAAGCTGTCTGATACCTTCCCAAAAGGCCACTGATTTAAGGCTGCTTTCATTATTTACAATCGGGTTTAAAAGTTTGTCAAGTGTCACATTAAAAACCAAACAAAGTGCAACCCTTCCTGCCAGACTGCTGGTACAGGGAACAATTTACAGAGCTGGGCCAGGAGAAATGACTGCAGCACGAAACAGGAGGACATACTGGTCTTTGAGCTTTAGTTCAGCCATGCCTACAGACGAGCCCCAGAGGTGTTGCTTTGGTTAATCTACTGCAAAACACTCTGCGGAGATTTACTTGGCTTAAGAGTGGCTCACTGTGGTTTAGCTTAAACTTGTTCTCATTCTTAAATTAAACCACAAATATGAACATCCACAGAGGGCTGTGCAATAACTCACAATCACATCCCTCAGCAAGGTACGGGAGCTGTGCGTTGAGTCCCTGGAAGGCCAGAAGATTATCCATATGCTTCAAATCACCAGTGCTTGATAAGGACTTTTGAAACATCACAGATTACTGCAGTTGGCAGAGCTTGGACCTGAAATTTTCTCTTCCTTTGGGTGGGAAAACTTGTGCCAGCTGGGAGAGAGCTAGGCACCACTCAGCTCTCAAAATTTCTGGCACATAAATCCTTCCCAAAGGAAGACACTTCATCCATAACCTGAAATGCTCAAGTTTTATATAGAGAAAAATAACCTTGCCAATCGCCCTCGACTTTTCCATTCTCACTCTTGAATACCTATGCATGTCTTCAAACACAGCAGTGTTTTAAAATACAAGACAAAATAAATCTGAGGTATCTGCAGCATTACAAAATAGGCTTTTCTTGCAAGGAACCTTGCATTTTCAGAAGCTGTTGTGTACATCCAAGTCCTATAAAAGACTAGTTTATGCTCTTTGTTATTATGAGAGCACAAGTCTCTACTCAAGTATTTCTCCACAAAATTGTATCTTAAACTTGTCATACGTTAAGCGACAATTTCTCAAAATAAAGAAAAACTGGACCCCGATTCTAGAGAAGATCAAGTAAGTATCTTGCCAACAGAAGTGAATTTTAAATGACACACATTTAAGATTTTTACTAAATACCATTTATTTCCGTTCTCAAGTAACAAACAGAAAAAGTATATCAAACAAAATTACGTCAAAGCTGCCTGGAAACTGGCTTGCAAGGGAACCTGAAAATAAAGACCTCCATCCTTCTTGTGCAAAGAACTTGCCTTAGAACCCAAGCCTGAATCCAATTTTGTCTCTCTGCTTGCCTATGAAAACATGGAGGCTGAGATTTGCAAAGCAATGAAATGAATAAGATGAGCAAAGAAGGACTTACAGAGCAGAATGCATGTATTTCAGTGCACAAAACCAACCACACAGTACCACTTTTCTCCAGGAATCAGGGAACCTAGAAGCCTTCAAGCCATCCAAAAAGACCTCACAAACTTGTTCGAGGCAGTTATGTCAAACCCCAAGGCCTTCTGCTGTGGCTAAGTTTCAAAGATCTACAGTCGGGCTGAGGCACCACGGGACCAGCATCCCACACACACACCATACAAACCTTTTGCTAGTGGTGCTATTCCTGGGGACTTCTGGAAATCTGCACTAGCTCCTCTACAGCTTTCCAACCAGTGCGTACCATACTGTTCAATGAGGAGATTCAAGACTGCCACCTAATAGGAAAGCATAGAAACACAATTACACCACGGTTAAAGAAAGGAAGGAAAATAATAATAATAAATACTGATAAATATGCAAAACAACAATAAGGTGCATGGTAAAACTGTCAAGGGTTGCTCTTGTGGGTTTGGAAGAGGCAAGGCATCTCCTGGAGGAGATGCAGGAGAGAGTTCCTGGGAGTTTAATCTCCAGGAGGGGATGCAGGAGAGAGGTGGACAGGGACCACCTGCCAGGGGAACACTTTGGGAAGGCAGGGATGTCAGGAGCAGGGTCCGGTGAAGCCTGGGGAGGTCACGTCAACCCACAGCAGGTGAGGGAAGTGGCTGCCCAGGGGCTGTCAGGGCTGTGAGCCCCGGGGAAGGGGGAAACCGCAGGATCAAACCAGAGGCTCGAAGCAGGCACCCAGGGCTGTAACACCCATGGAAGTTTCAGCAGCCCCGCACGGGCTCACGGTGCACCGGGGGCGGGGCTCGGGGGTCGCCCGGCCTGTG